TGGCACTAACCCCATTTAAGCCAAGATTCAAACTGTTGGCAGGAAAGTTACATGCCCATATCTCTCACGAGGAAAGGAAGTTGGAAAAGGAGGAAGGAGAAGAGAGAGGAGAAAGGGAGCTGCTCAAAGCTCTGCACTTTTCTTTTATTCAGTAAATTCTGCCCTGTTCTATTTTACTTGAAATGTAGGCATTAAGGTTCCTGTGTTATTTTATTTTAAATGTAGTTAATACATGTTTAAAAAAGGGGGTGGGCAGCTCAAAGGTCTTTTGTTTACATTTTTTCTTAAAGATGCACTTTTATTTTATTCAAAAGATTCTGAATGTTTTTACATTACCCTAAGTTCAGGCTGCTCAAAGCTGTGTTTGCACTTTTTATTTATTTTATTCAGAAGAAATTCAGTTACTTGAAGTGTAGTAAAGACAACTACAGTAATGTTTTCCATTCAAGTGCCATACAAGTTCAGACTTATCGGTATGTTTAAAGTATATTGAAAACACTTGAAATTTGACAATAAATGATATAGAAAAGTACGTATGTTGTTTTTTATTTACATCAGGGTGCACTATTTCGAGTGACAATATAAGATTCGGACCTTTGCTGGGAGGACATTTTTGTAACTGGACCTCTTTGAATTTTGATTGAATACCCCTGCCCTACAGGGCAATATATGTTTATTTCATCATTATAGATTATTAAGTTTAGTAACTTAGATTTGATTTCAACTTAATAGAAGAAGTAGTGTACATGAATGTATCATCAGTCTGTGGTGCAGGGCTTGAGTTGAGTCTGTGCCATAAAATATTGCTGAAAATATGTTATGTCGTTACTTGATATGTTCATAATAGTTGTCTAACTGTTGTCCTCCACTCTGAGTCTGGTTTATAGAGAGGCAGTCACCGTTGTATACAGCAAAAAAATAAAATATAAAGTATTAAGAATGCTGCAGCTTTGTAATTTGCAGGTGTGTTGACAGATTTGTGATTGATCATGTTTGATTAATCAAACTGGCTGATGGATGGTGATGCAGGTCATGTGCCTTTGTGTTGTCAGTTTTGGGCTTACAGAAACACCTGTTGACTTTAACCTTTCATGTTATTAATGAGCATAATAAAAATAACTACATCATATCTATTGAAAGACCATGTTTCTTTTTTGTTTCTTAAATGACAAAGTTTTAATTTCCACCTTTGAGATCTGACATCTGTTTGTAGAAGACCCCACCTTTTGTATCTGATCCATGGTTCATAGTAAAGTCTTCTTCCTAACTGTTTCTATTTGATAACACCTGAAAATCACCTTATGTCTATTTGACTTTGTCTCAACCTGATAAGAAAATCCCACATGGCTCTTAAGCTTTCTGCTATGTTGTCTGCACATAGGTGTCACGCTTCTGTTCTCTGGCTGATCATTTTTCTATCCCAGTTTCCCAGCATGTATGTTTTCAGTCACAGATGACATCAAATGCAGGCAGCAGTAAAATCCAGTTACAGATTGTGACTTCTGATGTATCTGAGATGATTTCTAAAACCAGGTTTCACAGGGACTCTCAGTCGACTGTTCCTCTGTTTGTATGTGATCTGGTGCCTTGAAGGAGAACTGCCAGGTAACACACATTTTTCATAGATGGCTTCAATAGTAATGTAGAGGCTCATTGGCTGACTTCAGCATTTTAACTTGTCACAGCATAAACTATACAATGTATATCCTTTATAAAAGACTGTCACATTTTAACCAAATCTGATCTATTTTAACCTAAATATCTTTTCATCTTTAACAGCTGTTCTTCACAAACAGCTGTTTTACCAAATAAAATATAAATGAATTTTTCTTGCTAACACTTTTATGTGAAGACAATATCAAAAACCTGAGATACTTTAGAAAAATAAGACATCAAGTCACATTAACATCAATGTATAATTACTTCAGGGTGGATGACGATGTATTTGTGTCTTTCCTCTAAGTCACATGGTTTCTGGAAAATCAGAACAGAAAGAGCAGTTAGTTTCACTTTCTCAGACCCTCACCCCTCTCACATCACATCTGATTTGTTCAGAGTAGAGGGGGGTGAGGGGGTTGGGAGGGGCTGACCAATAATCAAATCCTCTGACCAGTATATAAAACCAAGGAACAACAGCTTGGATTCATAAGACGGGTTCATCGACACAGATCAGACTGAGCTGAGAAAACACGAAACAAAGGTGAGTTTGAACATTTCTATAATGTGTTTGTGTAAATATGTAAAAATCAGTGTATGTACAGTTTTTATAACAGACATTGACTGTTTAAACTCAAACCTCAGTTTCTTGAGGAAATCTTGATCTTGAATCTTCATTGTTTAAATCATGGATACTGTTCATGTGATTGATAAACATGCTAATTACAGTATAAACTGTATTTAACAGAAGTGGAAGTTCTACTTTGTGAATTGTGATCATCTGAACTCCATGTGGAAAAATATTTTTTACTTTCAATTTTGATGCAGTTCAACAGCAGTTTGTCTGAGACACAGTGGTTTAGTTTTCACAAGGAGGGGTTGGTGTGACATGCATGCTGGTTGATAAAGACACATTTAAGAGAGAAAGAAAGAAGAAATTTAAATTAAAATAAAATTCACTGTGAACAGAAGGAATAGATGTTGACAATTAGGAATTGGAGCAAACATGGGTGGAGATTATAGTTAGACTCGGAAGGAGTGCAGGAGGACATAGTCTTCCTGACTGAAACTTCCACTAAGCTTCAGTTCCCTTCTCTATCACTTGCATTTAATTATGTCATGTTTGCTCACTTTTAAATTATTTCAGCAAAATACACAGAAAATTCTCACTTGCATTTTATTTTAAGAGAAAAAGTTTTTCAATATTTACAACATTTCTCCTGCAGTTAAATCTTCAAGATGTTGACCAAAGTATTTTATGTTAGACTTACTTTCACAAAGAGAAGAACTAGGTTTTATGTTCTGTTGATCATATAATTTTCTGAGACAGTTTGAATGGTGTCGTGCATTTTCCAGTGATTGTTAATTATCACTTTTGTCTGAATGGCTCTGTCTTATGAACATAAAGATGAGCAGCTGATGAGATGGAGGTGGAGAACCATGATAACACAGCAGCAGCAGCAGGAGGAGGAGGAGGAGGAGGAGAGTCTGAAATCAAATCTGTAATATCATCTGTGACAGATGACAAAGGTAATTTGAAAGTTTGACAATATAAACAATCATAATTTAAGAATTGTTGACAAACCACATATTGTTTTTATGCTGATCCTGTTCAATCTGTTTTTTCTTACATGACCTGTCAGTAGATGAGCTGGAAGAAAGTTCAGCTCAAACCAAGGTAAAGATCAGTCACCATCATACAGCTGTATTTATTCTCACAGTATCCCCTTTTTAAAGTCACATTAGCATTTGCCACAAGAGAATCCTTCCCTAAATCTGAAATTATAAAACTTTTCAGAACACACACAGTGTCCACACTGTCCAAACATCAGACCTTTGAAATGATGTTTTCTTCTAAAACTGAGCCGGTTTTCATTTCATGAGCTGCTTCATGTTTGGCAGTGGATGAATTAACTTCACAAAACAAAGAAAGCTTTTTATTACATTAATATCCCACCTGCAGACATGCACACCTTCACATTAATGTGATGACAGTTTAACGCGCTGGTCTCACGTCTGAATAACCACCTTGGTCACTTTAATGTGAAAGTCACAACAGGAATCTTACTGGGTCAGACCTGCTAACATTTCAGTGGCTGCAGAATGATGCACTTTTCTTAGTTTTGGTTTCCTGATGAAAACACTTTAATGTCAGTGGCTCTGACCTGGAGATCTAATCGTTACATGAAATCAATTATTTTATTTATTAGTCTGATTCAGTGACTGAACCTGGTGTTGTCGTTGACACTTGGAGCACAAACAGAAACCAATGACATCATCAGCCTTGTGAACGCCCACAAGAGGTTAAATACTTGGGTCTCCACACCAGAAAGTTAGACCAGTCCCAGCCTGGTCAGATGCGTACACGAACTGATGAAGCCTCTTGGATGAGAGGTGAAACGTCTTCTTAGACAAATAATCATGTCCAGTTGCGTTTTGATTTAAAACTCCTTTAGGAACCTGGTGGAGCTGAACATCCAGAGCAGAACGATACAACCAAAGACGTGGACCACAAATCCCACAAAGAAGAAAAGACGGACTCCTCAGTGTTTCATCAAAGTCAAACAGGTGAGATTTTAATATTTCTGATCATATAGGGCCCTGTAATGCCCCATTCAGACCTGGTATTAACATCTGTCTCCGGTGAGCCGATCACAAGTGGACAGCTCTAAGTTCAGCTGTGAACTCACCCAAGAAGTATTGAGGACGCATTTGGGATTCGATCACTCAGACCACATTCTAAGGTGGTCTGGACCACATGTGTTCATTTTCAATTAGCAGTGTGAACATGAATGCGTCCTGAGCCACATTGGGCCACCACCAGAATTAGTCCCATTATGAACACAGTTTCATAATGAACCAGAAATATTTTACTATTTAAAATGGTCTCATGTCATTGTAGAGCTGCTGATTAGCTAAACTCTTTCTCTCTATCTTGCGTACTGCTCAGAGATATCCCACAGTTTACACAGTGTTATAAAATACATGAACCAACTACTTAGTGAAAGTTCAACATCTCAGACTGTTTCAACAGTTACCAAGAATGTGAGAAATACTTAATTTCCTTTGTTTTTTATTTCATATACTGTATGCAAAATTCAAATTCAAACCATATTATCTCTATTTGATGAGGAGTACATAGGTCTTGTTGAATAATGAAGATTGTAAATATACTGTACATATTTTTTGACATTAACATAATTTAAAAGATCTTATTTAACCTGGAATTGTTAACTGACCAGAAACTAATCCTCTTATATTTGATCCTGTTACATTACCTTGCAGTAAATCAGCTGGAGGAGAGAGCAGCTACAGTAGATCACCTGGAGGAGAGAGCAGCTACAACACAGGTAAAGTAGTCTGTAGTTACTGTCATACAGCAACATTTCTTTTTCAATGCTTCCTGTTTTTTATGAGTTAGGGTTTAAATCTATCATGAGCATGTGTAGCCTTAACTAAAGATTGGAGCTTTTGCCTTTTTACTTTAGATTTGCACAGTGTTTGACTCCACAAAGCTCCTGGTTTGACACTGGATGCGTGAAGCTGAAGATACTTTTACTGAAGAGTTTACTTTCTTCTCCCTCAAATACAAACCTATTTTACAGCTTTTAGTTTTAGTTTCCCTTACTTTTATTTTTGGTTTTCTTGTACTCTGAATAGTGTACCACTGTGTTCTTAATCTCAATGGTTGTAACCTGTTTATTTTAAGATTAAATTGAATTAAATCACCTGTTTTCTCAGTGTGACTCAGTTAATGATGGAAAACACTCAGAGAAGAAGAATGACAACACAGCGAGAGGAGGAGAGTCTGAAATCAAGACTGTTACATCTGCAACATGTGAGAAAATAATTTTGAATGAATTATTTTATTTTGCAATAAAAAAAAATACCTCCAAATTCACATAAATTACTAACTAACTAACATTCAAAATCATTTAGAGTGAATATTAAAACAATTTATTCATTCAACTCTGGCTCATTGTTGTCTTGCAGGCACCTCAGATGTGGATATGAGTGGAAACAAGGATAAGGTCAGAAAATACAAATTTATTTCACAAGAACTTGAGGACTTTTTACTTAATAACCATGTGATGTTACCATTTAATTTACAAACAATAAACAGTTATTTGACTTTTATTTCCAGCAATCAGTGGAGATTTCTGAAGAGAAGAATAGAAACATGGAGTATCAAAGAGATCTTGAAACACTGCTTCACAGACTTCACCTTCAAGACAAACAGAAGTTGTCTCCAGCAGATTTTCTTAAAATAGTTCCACCAGTGAAACAGGACCATGAAACATCTGAGGAAGATCTAGCTCAAACCTTTCTTCAGAGGTTGATGATGTTAGATTACAGAGCCAGATATATTCCTGTAAGACAAGACAGAGCTGAGGTGAGCCACTCAAATCCTATTGCAGAGTCTGAAACTGTTGAGATAGACGACAGTGACTTAGATGCTTTTTTGGATACAGACGTTGACTGTGATCAATCAAAACAGACTCATGTTCATCCGATGGACGTTCAAATGACAGTATTTCACTGCTCAGACAGCTTCCTTAAGCAGAACATGATGACAAAGCTGTCACAGTGTCAGTACGCCTTACCTTTGCTTGTTCCTGACCCAGTCACACTGGATGTTGAGTTTCCTCTGTGGACATTCAGACAAATAAGAAAAACCTGGAAGACAACTCAAATCAAGGGTGATTCAAACATTGTCACCATGAAGAGTTCCCCCATCTGCAAAGCTGAGACACCCATGGTGTCATTTTTCCGCCTGGGTTCACTGTCAGTGTCTAAATCTCAGCTGATGAACACTTTGATCAACGAGCGTCACAACACCTTCTTCCACAGAAACTGCCCAGGTAGCACCAGATCTCGCCTTTTGATGGATGGTGTGGCAGAGATTGCCTGGTACTGTCCTGCTGGAAAACCCAACGATGCCTTCACTGACTGCACTGCCTTCTGTAATCTTCATGGTGATGCTCTGTCGTTCGATTTGAAAAACAACGTAAGATACTGACTGAAAAATCTTCAGTCAATGTTGTTCTGTTACCAACTCTGAAAAAAGGTGACAAACGTTGGGCTGTTTTCTCAGATCTTGTGAAGTCTCCAAAGCCTCTGATTTGTCTCATTAATGATAATGATTCGTGTTTGCAGTTCAAGATGAAAAAGGGAAAATATAAAATGGGTCTAAAAGACAGAAGCCAGTCAGATGTTTCTGAAGAACTGAAAAGGATCATTAGAGAGATCTTGTCTGGACTCACACAAACCATCTTTCCAGCTTGAAACCATGGCCGAGGTCTCTGGATCAGAGTTGGATGAACGAAGA